TTTTTTTTTCTATTTATATTATTTTTTCCCCAATGATCAAAATATCGTTTCAAAACGCTCAAAACGTGTCCGTTTTCAAGGAGACCGAAACGAAACAATGATTAAATCGAAATATTAGAATTTTGAGGTTTTTCATAATGTTTCGAGAAGTATTATAATATTCTAAAGTATCTGCACAATTGTTTTGAAATATTTCAATGTATTTCAATAATGTCATACTTTGATATATTTCAATCAATATTTTTGAAAAATAATTATTAAATTATTTATTTTTTCTTTATATTTGCGAAACGGGTCGAAATGTTTTTAAAACACGTCAAAATGTTTTCTTTTTCTAGGTGACCGAAATAATATACCAAAACGACATTGTTGGTTTTTTTTGTTTTCGTACATGATTTTATATTAATTGATGAGAAACTTGACCCCAATGCTTTGCATTATGTTTTCATTGGTTATTCTATTACCCAGAAAGGGTATAAATGCTATCATTCACAGTTTTAAAAGGTGTATGTTTGTGTGATGTACTCTTTTGGGAATCTGAGTCATTTTCCCTACTTCTCAGGCTTTTCAGGGGAGAATATCACTATTGAGAGAAAGATTGTATGTGAGGAGCCTTGATTTTAGCTGCCTATTCAGTAGGGTATCAGTGAGGGTTAGCAACAACTTATTGAGAAAAGAAGTTATACTAGTGGTCGACTTGGTTTTGACATTGACAAGGATAATCTGAAAACCTATTCTTAGAATTAAAATGTACAAATTACCCATGTACTATCAAGTAATTGCATTCTCCATTTCTGTTTAGGGATCTTCCATTGAGTTATTTAGTAATGTGCTTCATGCTATTACTCGTGTTGTTGAAAATCTAGTTGTTGATAATTTTAAACTTCCTATTGCAGTTACAAAATGTGTTAGAGCTAAGGATCAAAATGTCCTGTCGACACGTCTGAAACGTCCGAAACGTTTCGGAATTTCAACACTCTAAAACGAAATAGTGGTTGAATCACAAAATTCTAGTGTTTCGGTCGAAACGGCCCTGTTTCGGACCATTTCGGTCGAAACAGTACCGTTTCGACAAAACAGTGATATATTCGGTTCACTTAACTATAATTATATTTAATTCCCCATTGCTCTTCCGTCTTTTATAATTTTTTTGTTATAAGAATGAATAATTACACTTAATAACCTATTGTAATTATATTTAATACTCACTATAATTATATTTAATACTTACTGTAATTACATTTAACACCCCACTGCTGTGTAAGTCTTCTGCTTTTTTTTTTTTTTTTGTTATAAGTATTAACAATTACATTTAATACCCTAATATAATTATATTTACTACTCATTGTAATTACATTTAATACCCACTACAATTACATTTAATTTTTAAGTATACATAAGTACCATTAATTTAATTTGATACCCTTCATTATTAGTATTATAATAAAATAGTATTATTAATTGAATAATATTTTAATTTAAAAGTGTTATACATGTCATATTTAATTTGTAGAATAAATATAATCTGTTTGATAATGCAATGACATTTATTATAAATATGATATTTTTATGTAAAAATGTGTTTATTTGATAAAAATTAAGTGTTTGAAACTAATTTAAGTGATTTTCGTCTCATGTCAAACCTTTTTTTCCCTCAAATTTAAAGTTATTCTTGTATAAATGAATGTTAGTCCAATAAATACGTTCAATTAATCAATTATTTAACTTATCTTTATAAATTAATGGATTGTATTTGTGTTTCCATTAGTTTCCATATTTTTTCTGCGTTTTCATTGCGTTTCCGAAACGTTTTCGAAACATTTCCGTTTTTGAGCTGACCGAAACTGTGCTTCGAAACGAAATTTCGATCCTTGGTTAGAACTTGTAATCAACACCCATGTCTAACTTTGTCTCTTATAATTCATTATCTTTATCCTATCGTGCTTTTGTTGCTTCATTGTCTTCTATATTTATTCTCAGAGTTGGAAATAAGTTCTCACTAATCCCAAGGGAAAACCTATTTTAGAGGAAATAAAAGCCTTGAGAAAGAATGACATATTAGAGTTGGTTTTCCCACCAGTTGGAGCAAGGGTAGTAGGGCACAAATGGATGTTCGATGTCAAGCAACAAGCTAACTTGACGAGTTTGAGGTACAAAGGTAGATTGGTTGCTAAGGTATTCACTTAGAATATCAGCATTGATTATCTGGGGACCTTTGTTGCTATGTCAAAGATGAACTCCATACATGATCTTCTATCTTGGGTAGCTAATCTAGGTTGGAGTTTGCAGTTGTTGAGCATGAAGAATGCTTTTCTTTGTAGAGATTTAGAGGAGGAGGTGTATGTGGAGATCCCACTAAGTGTTCTAGGTGTTTCGTCGCTGTTAACTAAAGAATAGTTGTATCAGTTGAAGAAGTTTATTTATGGGTCAGAATAGTCTGCTAGATCTTGATTTGGTAGGTTTCTCAAAACTATGGTGAAATTTAGATGTAAACAACGTCATGTTGATCATAGTTTGTTCATCAAACAAGATAATTGTGAGATATTTGTTCTCATCGAATATGTGAATGACATAAATCACCAAACTGAAATCTTAGTTGGCTAAGGAGTTTGAAATCGAAGACTTGTGTTCTTTGTGATACTTTCTTGGGATTAAAGTTGTAAGATCAAATAAGCGCATTTTTGTCGCTAATGGAAGTATGAACTTAAAATAGTCATGTTGGGTGTAGACCTATAAATTCTCCAATTGAAGATAGCCATCGTTTGAATGGTAGTTTTGGTGATGTAGTAGATAAGGAGACGTGGCAGGGATGGGTGGGGAGATTGGTAAATCTCTCTTCTACTCAACGAGATATTGGGTATGTATTGGTTGTTGTCAATTAGCTCATTCTTGATCCTCAAGCTCCTCATCTTGAACTTGTTTTTTCTTATTTTGGATATATCAAGTCAGTTCCTGGAAAAGGAGTTGTGTTCTTCGATAACAGATCATGGTGATCTACTTTGAGCTATTGCACTTTTATATGACGGAATTTTGTCACTTGGTAGAGCAAAAACAAGCGGTGGTTGCTGGTTCTAATGTAGAAGTTGAATATAGGGCAATGACTCATGGAATTTATGAGCTTATGTGACTCCACATCTTAGTGGGAATGCTAGGAAATCAAGATGATAGACATATGAGACTATACTGTGGCAATAGACGGCCATCAATATTGCTCATAATTCAGTTTAATATGATAGGACCAAACATGTTGTAATTGAATGGGATTTTATCAAAGAAAAGCTAAACAAGGGTTTGATTCGCATGCTCCTAATGACATGAGAAAACAGTTGGTCGTTATTTTCACTAAGGGTCTTAGTAACAATATTTTTGGTCCCATTGTTTGCAAGTTGGACGTGAGGGATATTTATGTAACAACTTGAGAGAGAACATTATGCTATGCTTTATTTTTCAGCTTAAGGGTATTTCTATCTTTGTATTTATATAACCTGGGTTACAGCTGGGTGAAAAACTATCCTTCCCATAGCATTTTTCTTCCTTCTTTCTTCTCTCCCCAACTTCTCCTTTCCCCTGAAACCCTAGAACTTTATTATTCTATTTTGTCTTGTCACAATATACGTGTTATTGCTTTATGTTGTCTTTGCTATGATTTCACATATGCTGAAAAGATCCAATTTCATATGCTATTATCAAGCAATAAAGCATTTGTGTTCTTAAAGCCTCTCTGGATTTCTCAATTAGCAGTCCTTCTACAAGAAAAATATTTTCTGATATGCTTGCTTTCATGTTAGGAAATTCATGTCACTTTGTTGTTTATCGGTGCAATCTTCACATTTTGATATGCCTGTGTTTGTAATGTGTGAAATAACCTCTCTGCATGCTGGGGATAAGATCGGTGTTGCGAAAATTCACTCGACATCCTTCGACCCCCAATCTTGGTTGCACATCTCCAAACAGGGCACGTTCGCGATCTGGATAATTTCCATAAGAGGCTAAATCACGAAAGGGTGAAGTAAGATACCCAGATTGATCCATCGAAATAATTGTTGAATCTTTCTGGATCGATAATGATCATTCTCCCGTTGCCACTCTTTAATTTGGATCGATTACATTTTGTCTCAGCGAAGATTTCTTTTTTGATAACCCGAGTGAAAATTTTCGTGTATGTGTAAGATTCTGGTGTTTAGTAAGGAGTAAGGATTGTGTTTGCAACGATGCAAAGTTACTTTGTTGGTGTAAACAAATAGAAAAAAGCATTTGTGCAGTTGAAAACTCAAAAATATCCCCAATGAGCTGTTATATGTGAAAACAAGTTTAGGATAAAAGTATCAAAACCACTTGCTGTAATTGATTCAGCAGACAACCAGCCTGCCTATGCATGCATCCATATGAATTTAGATATGTATTCTTCTCAAACCCTAGCTCATACCCGTCCTCTTGGTCACTCTATTTTTAGGTATCATCACAAAAAATATAAAATAATATAAAAGTATACAATAAATACTAAATTTATATGGGTATACAAATCTGAAATTTCACATAACAATGACAACTATCATAGTTATTAAGTAAATATTAATTGATTAAATGTGTTTAGATTTATACCTGTATATAATTTCTTATATTTGTGAAAGCAACGCAAATAATATTTTTAAAACGAACTGCGATCCAAATTAGTATACCGACTAAGCCTGTTGCCTACTCCCATCGGAAGCATCGTACCACGATCTAGGAAACATTGTACGCAGTCTGATCCTCTATCCGCAGTGCCAGGAGCTTCGTGCATTAGCCACTTTTTTGTGTTTGTAATATGCAATGTTTGGACAGGCACTGGCGTACATGTATGCCATGTCGATCTTTGATTATGCTTGTCAGTGTCCGTCAGTCCTTTCCTATCTAATAATTTTGTCCCAGATTCACACTGCTTCAGAAAATATAGTTCATGTCTAAAAAGTTACTGTTGCTTAAATCAGGTGTTGACTTATGCACAACAATCCAAGGAAATGGCCAATATTGAGCATGACAAGCTTGCAAAGAGAATTCAGGAGTTCAGGACACAAGCAGAGTTGGACCATTTGCAAGCATCTAGTAATGTGGGAACCTCGATAAGTGCTGTTGGTATGAATGGTGTTGGGATGAGCTCCTGCAAAAATATAGAGGCAATTATGCAGTCCGCTACAAAAGGAGGGGTACAAGATTTGTTTCAGATGTTTTTCTATTTGATGTTTGGCAGTAAATTCTTTCCCCATTATGAGTTGGATATATAAATATATACATATATGTATTTAAATGTCTGTGTACTCATCTCAACTCAACATGCTAATATTATAAAATAAAGATTGGTATGTGTGGACATATATTTTCTAATTGGGTAGTTTGATAGGCTGTTCAATTCTTTCCAGGTCCAGACAATCAAACAAGGATATCTCTTAAAACGATCTTCAAGTTTGAGGGCAGACTGGAAGAGGCGATTCTTTGTACTCGACAGTTATGGGACTTTATTTTATTATAGGCATAAGGGTACCAAACCTGTGGTATGTTATTGTTTTTCTGCCGTAGTTGATTAAACAGTTAAGTTATCAGGTGCTATTGATGTGTATGACCCTCCTTTCTCATTGTGATTCAATTCTGTCTAAATTATTGTTTTGACCAGTCTGAAATGTTGCCACGGATCTTCTATTATTTACTTAAGTTGTTATGCTATATATTTGATGATATGGAGGGAAAGAGAATTTCACCAAGAACCAGGTTGAAACCATTTCAGTCGGGAATATGCAGATATCATTTTTCACATACATAGGCATGTTGTTGACAACTTATAAAATACCTTACAATTTGATATGATAGTATATGAATAACATTGCTGATTGATCAACAAATGCTTTAGCCTGGGAATGGTTTTGGAGTATACCAAAGGACTATAAATTGTGATTGAGCATCACAAATTAGGGACAAGAGGTGCCACAAACTATTTTCAATACAGGATGGAAGCTTTTGTTTGTTTAAAGGAGATATGCTCTACTATAATCTAGACATGTAGTTGCCTAAGTTTTCAAGTTGGAAAAAAAAAAAACAAAATTTGGCAAAGTTTTAAGTTGAATCTAAACATCCTGTTGGAGTTATAGTCTAGTTTATTGGGGTTTTTTATTCCTTTTTTACTCTTACTATGACTTTTATATTTTGCCTAGACCAGAGGGATGTTCTGGTCACTTTATATTTGACTATATATATGTGACTCTACTCTTAGTTTGTGTATCCCTTTCACTCATAGATATTTCTAGTTGGTATCAGAGCCACCAACCCTAAACCTAACCCCAACCCTAGCTTCTGCTAACCAAACCTCCAAACAGCCACAGCCCACCCTCTCCATCAACAGCCAAAACTTACCACCGACAGCCACCCACAGAACAAGCCCACTGCCCCAGCCACTGCCTGAAACCCCCACTGCCCCAGCAAAACCCCCACTCCACTGACTGCAGCCAACAAATCCCAACTATACCCAGCATACTCCCACTCCACCGACAGCAGTCAACAAATCCCCACTCCGCCGACAGCAGCCAACAAATCCCAACAATACCCAGTCGACTCCACCGACAGCAATAAACCAACCAGCCACCCAGCGACCCAACCAACAGCTCCCCTGCCCAGAACTCCAGCACATCCAATTGCCTAAGTTTTAAGTCCATATACATATAAGTATACATGTTCACATATACTATTACTTATAAGGTTGAGTAATTGTTCTTTGTGATCAAGGATCAAAATATCGTTTCGAAACGGTTGAAACGTCTGAAATGTTTCCGTTTCCAAGGAGACCAAAACGAAACAGTGATGGAATCAAAATTCTGATATTTCGAGATATTCCATAATATTTTTAAATGTATTATAATATTTCAATGCATTTGCACAATTGTTTTAGAATGTTTTAAGGTTTTTCAATATACTTTGATATATTTTCATAAAAGTTTTAAAAAAATAATTCTTAAATTTTTATTTTTTTAATTATGTTTTCAAAACAGGTCGAATCATTTATGAAATACGTTGAAATGTTTCCGTTTTCTAGGGGACCGAAACGATATTTTGATCCTTGTTTGTGATATCCATGACTCTTGTGAGTATGTTAACTCAGCTATAGGAGAGTCCTAGGCAGATTTGTATATGTCAGACTAGGATCACCCTCCTATGACTTCTTAGCCTTCATATTTTAAATACTGTTGAACTAGGGATTGAGGAAATGGTAGACAGGTGCTGGCATAAAAGCTCAAATGTGTGCCATGCTAATTTGATACACAACTAAGCATCTCAATAGCTTTGTGAACCCTAGTTTAATGAATGATCTTATCATAAAATGTCAAATCACAAGTGTAGGATCAAACCATCCCTTGTCGGTGCATAATGGCATTTTTTTGGATTTTGTGTTTAATAAATTAGGGATCATTTTTTTCTAATAATATACGAATGAAAATGATATGTTCTATTGTAAGCATAAATATTTGGGACTCTCTATTAGTTACTCCATCGTTGAATGCTTACAAAGAACAGGACAATCTTCAAAATATATCAAATAATTTGTGGTACTTGTTTCTCATTGAAGTCATACAAAGAATGCTTCAAGCTTATAGGAGAAGTATGTTAGCATTACTAGAATTAGCTTAAACGGCCAGCGATGTATTGGGCTTGATGAGCTAATGAATGAAATATAGGGCCATTGAAGTAAGAGCCAACCCAAGGCTTTAAGCCTGTGTTTTGATGCTTTTGCTTACCTTGTCAACAATAAGAGAGATCCCTCTTTCATGTGGTTGCACCCCATTAGCAACCCAAGATGCATACTGACAACAGTTCCTTATTCAAAAGCATATGGTACCCTTGTGGTGGACCTCAATGCTGGAAACAGTCGGTATTCCAACCTCATGCTGCACTTTTCTGGTAGGTTGATGCTTGCTTTGGTTGAGAGTAGAGTCAAGCAGCTCCTTTAAGCTCAGCACATTCTTCCCTACAGCTCCTAGTCTACTGGATGATACCTATAATCTCCCATTGCACTTCGGAAAAAGTCCTTTCAAGCTTAATAGTGCTGCAGCAGGAAAAAGGGATGTGGAATTTGTAAGCAATTTGGATAAGGTGTCCAAAGTCAATCTGCCTCCCTTTGATAAGTAGTCCGAGATGTTTTGGTGCAACGGAATAAATTATCTTCAGTAGATCACACTCTTTTGTTGTCACATACATTGTTACCATATTTCCTGGTTTATTTCCACAGCATTTTCACTAATGCAACGTGAGACAATTGATTATTTATTTCATGTCATCTAAAATCTCATCTGTAGTATAGATGCTCCTTTTGTGGATAGTGGTTGTGTTTCATAGATTGGAACCATTCTAAGCCATAATTCATGTCCACACACTGATAATTATTGTCTTCAGAGTTTCACATTTTAAAAATTGTAGAGCAAGTAGAACCAGAGCCATTTGGAGCGTATCAATCGCTGGTCACCATTCTATTACGACCGCTTTCCTGCTTTCTGCATTAACTTTTTGCAGAAGCTAGTTAACTTTTTCTGAAGCTACTGAATTCTTCTACCATAATTGTATGAAAAGTGAGACCAACACCGGATCCATGTTCTTTTGAAATAAAGAGATGATTATCTAATGAATAAATCTTAGGTCTGCTTCTAGAAGATGTATCCATGTTCTTTTGAAATAAAGAGATGCTTATCTAATAAATACATCTTATGTCTGCTTCAAGAAGATGTTGACACCTGATATCTCCTTTTTCTCCTACACCACTAAGGTGATCTAAATGTACATCTGCATTTTAAGAACATTTTTACTTCTTCAAGCCTTTAACTGATCCTATTTTTCTATTCTCTATATGTCCACATATTTGCAGGGCACTCCATCATTTTATTCAACTACTTCGGTAGAACACAATAATCGTGTATTTGGCAGATTTCGATCAAGGCACCATCGGGAGGTATCCCTTGGCGAGGAAAACTTAGGCTGTCGTACTGTTGATCTTCATACCTCAACAATAAAGCTTGATGCTGAAGATACTGATCTGCGGCTATGCTTCAGACTGATTTCTCCATTAAAAACTTACACATTGCAGGTAAATAATTTTGTTGGCTCAGGCTTTCAGTTTCTGATCATGCTTGTGACTGTTGGAGCATTGGCTACATAGGGCACCTTGGTAACATGCATTAATATGAAGAAGGGGCACAAAGTAACAAAAAAGGAAATAAAATGTTTCTGATTCATTAGAGTGCTTTGTTGTGCATATGCTCTGGTCTATCGCTAGAAGACATTACTCTTATGGAACTACCACTTTGTCTAATAAGTTGATTCTCGTGCGTCTTGGGGTAAAAATAGGGTTGATGAGTTTGATGTTTGGCTTTGTGGAACCCTACATTTGTTCTCTCAGTAGTTCTCTTTTTGATTTAATTCTGTCGAAGTTCCGTACAGACTTGCTAGTATGATCATACTAGTAGTTGGCAATTATAATTGGTCCTTAGTTGTTGCTTTTTATCTTGTTCTTTTTATTTTTATTTTTTTCAAATTAGTCTTCTTACATTTGGAAGTTTTATTGCCCCCTTAAAGCGGTTTGGGGGCAAAGTGATATTCTTTTTCAATAGATTTTGCAAATGTGTATTTTTGTATTTGATGCTTTGAGAGTTGAGTATTGAGGTTTTTCATTTCCTGGTTTGTGCAGGCAGAAAATGAAGCAGATAGAATTGATTGGATGAACAAGATCACAGGAGTTATTGCATCCCTCTTGAATTCTCAACTGCAGCAAGTGAGACTATCTGAAACTTTGTTCCCTTCTCTAAAAAGTTTTGTTTTATCCTTTTTGCTGCTCGTGTTGTAACTTTTGTTCTGTGAATAAAATGCAACTAATTTATCATTGGTTGAAAAGAACTCATTGTATCTTCTGCAGCTACATCCAGGGAAACATAATTTGGTGGAGAATAGCACTCCTTCGAGTGATATTTCCCTTGATCTTCGGCCACCTGATAACCATGAAAGTACAGCAGCTGACATGAAAGTCAATTCAGCTAATGGTGTGTCTAGGATTCTCAGAGAAATTCCTGGAAATGATCTTTGTGCTGAATGCTGTGCTCCTGAACCTGATTGGGCGTCTCTAAATCTTGGCATTTTGATGTGCATTGAATGTTCTGGTGTTCACAGGAATCTTGGTGTTCATATATCAAAGGTGCACTGATTTTTGGAATGCTAAGTAAATATCTTTTTTTATTTGATATCATCCATTATTCTTGTGAATATTTTATTTATATATGCAAATAATAAGAAAAGACCTATATATCCCTTAATGGGATATACTTATTACAAGGATGTCATTCCTAAATATATAGATATCCATATTCTAACACTCCCCTTCAAGCTGGTAAATAGATATCATGTAATTCCAACTTGGAACAAATATTTTCCAAACGAGTACTACTCAAGGACTTAGTAAACATATCAACAAGTTGATCCTCAAACTTGACAAATAGTGTGATAACGTCTCCTCGCAACGCCTTTCCTCGAACGAAGTGGCAATGAACCTCAATCTGTTTAGTTCGATCATGAAACACAGGATTAGAAACTATATGAATAGTTGTGTGGTTATCACAGAACAACTGAAACATAATTTGAGCTAGAAAACCAATTTCTTGAAGGAAGTCCTGTAGCAATTTAACTCACTACATGTATGAGCCATTGCCTATATTCAGCCTCAACACTAGATCATGCTATCACGGTCTTCTTACTTTTCCATGTAATCAGATTTCCTGGCAAAAAGGTACAATATCCTGTAGTGAATCGTTTATCTGAGGGAGAACCTTCCCAATTTACATCGGTGAATCATTCCAATTGAAGATGTCCATGCGACCGATACAACAATCCAAGTCTGGAGGCTTGCTTGAGATAGCGAATAATACGAATAACAACATCCCAATGTAATACTCTAGGAGTCTCCTTAAACTGACTAACCACACTCATTACCAAGGATCAAAATTTTGTTTCGGTGCATAATTTCGGCTAGCTTTGAAACAAAAATGTTTCTTTAATGTGTCAGAAATATTTTGAAAACAAAATGGAAACGAAGAAAAAATTAAAAATTTATTTTTGAAACATTCGTCAAAACATACTGAAACATAGTTCGAAATATGCCGACACACCTCGAAACCTACCAAAACACAACGAAACATTTCGAAATATAGGAATTTTGATATTCAATCAATAATTCGTTTTGAATTCCATAAAAATGGAAGTGTTTCTTACATTTCAACCATTTTGAAATAAAATTTAGTCCTTGCTCACTGCATATGAGATATCTGGTTGAGTAATAGTAACATAATTCAACTTCCCAACTAGGTGACGATACCATGTAGGATCGGAGAAATATTTACCCTCAGTTCGTGAGAGTTTATGAATTGGATCCATAAGCATGTCAACTAGTTGACCATCCGAAAACCTTGTTTCTTCCAAAAAAATTAGACACATATTTTCTTTGAGATAAGCTAATGCCTGGTTTAGATCTGACAACTTGATTCGAAGAAAGTATCTAAGTTTATCCAAATCTTTGGTATGAAACCGATTTTATAGAAACTATTTTAACTTGGCAATACCCATAGAATCATCACTTGTAATTAGAATGTCATCAACATAAATTACAAGAAGGATATTACCTACATCAGTTCATAAATGAAATACAGAGTGATCTGTTTGGCATCTACGAAGGCCAAAAACTAACACTGTCTCTAGGAACTTCCCAAACCACGCGTGTGGTGATTGTTTCAAGTTCAACCCATACAAGGCTTTCTTTAATTTACACACACTGTCCTGATACTCCCCTTGAGCAACAAACCCAGGTGGTTGCTCCATGTCAACCTCCTTTGCTAAATTACCATGTAGGAAAATATTCTTGACAATTGAAATAAGGGTCAATTAAGTGAAATCAAAACTCTGACGAAAGAGATTTTGTCAATCGGAGAGAAGGTCTCTACATAGTCAACGCCATAGGTTGGGGTATATTATTTGGCAACCAAATGAGCTTTGAGCTGATCCACAAATCCATCAAGAAGAAATTTGATGGTGTAGACCCAACAACACCCAACAACCTACTTACTAGAAGGTAGCAGGACTAGATCCCAAGTTTGATTATGGTGAAGAGGATTCATCTCGTCCTCCATAGTTATCCGCCAATTCGAATCTGATAAGGCATTTGTTAAAGTCTTAGGACAAAAATTTTTTATAACTGAGAAGTAAAGCATGAAAAATGAGAAGAAACATAGTTTGTAATGGGGTGGTTAGTAACACATGAATGAGTACCTTTACGTAAAGCAATATGAAGAAAATTAAGCACATCTGAGGAGGGAAGATTCGAAGACAAAAAGGACGCCGGTGGTGGAACTAAAGTAGGTGATCGTGACCAACAAGTACATGAAAGGGTGTGGGAGGACGAGTAGCTGGAGACAGGGACGACTGAGGAATAAATGATAGTGGGATCGACATTGGAAGTGGAAGTGGGTCAGACACTGAAGATAACTCAAGAAGACTTTCAAAAGGGACAGAAGGAGCAAAAAAATAAGGAGTTGATTTTCAAATGGTAACATCAACACTAACAAAATACCTACAAAGAGTAGAACTATAACAATGGGAGCCTTTCTGAGCGTGAGAGTAACTAATGAAGATACATTTAGTAGTCCGAGGGTTAAGCTCATCAAAATCAGGACCAAGATTGTGGACATAAGAGACACATTCAAACACTCTTGGAGGAAAAGTAAAAGAGAAAAGTTAGGAAACGAGACAGAATGTGAAGATTTTTCTTTTAAAATTGTAGAGGATATATAGTTAATAAGATGACAGACAGTTAAGACAGCATCACCCTAAAAATGATTAGGAACATGCATGTGAAATAAGAGGGCGTAGGTCACATCCAATAAATGACGATTCTTGTGCTCAGCCACACCATTTTGTTTTGGCATAAGCACAGGAAGTTTGATGCACAATGTCTTGTTGATCGAAGTAAGCCTGAAAGAGATTAGAAGTATATTCTTTGGCATTATCAGATCGTAAAACATGAATATTGTAGTGAAATTGTGTCTTAATCTGCTTGCGAAACAGTTGAAAGATAGAGAACAATTTGGAGTGAGATTTCATTTAAAATAACTAAGTCATACGCGAATAATCATCCACAAAGGTCACAAAATAGCATAATCTATTAATAGAAGAATAAGTGGGGGGCCCATTCATCAGAATGAACTAATTCAAAATGTGTAGAAACTCGATTATTAATCCTAAATTTGAACGGCAGACGGTGATGCTTATTAAGTTAACAAGCTTCACAAAGTAAAGATTACAAATTACTAAGACTAGGAATATGAGACTTCAAAACTGGAAGGGAGGGATGTCCTAAACAACAATGCCATTGAAGAGGGGACAGTGAAGTTTGTAATGCTCAAGGTGGAGGCTTGAAATCAAGATAATAGAGGCCACCTGATTCATGCTCCATACTAATCATCTTCTTTGTCCGGAGATCCTGAAAGACACAAGTTAAAGGATAAAATGTTACTGAGCAGTTAAGAGTACGAGAGATCTTACTAATTGATAGCAAACTAAAAGGAAATTAAGGCACAAACAAAACAAAGGATAAGGATAGAGAGGGACTAAGTTGAAGAGTACCAAAACCGGAGACTTGAGAAGATGATCCATTAGCAAGTGTAACATGGTGAGATAGGGCTACTTGACGAAAATCAGATAAATGACCAGAAAAGCCAGTCATGAAATCGAAAGCATCGTAATCTATAATCCACGGACCGGAGGTGGAACAAAAGAGATGAACAAAGGTCGTACCTAATTGGGCTAAAGTAGCAGTAGAGGAAGACATTGCCTACTTTTGAGATAGGAACTAAGTATACTTATCGTGAGAAATAGCAATGAGATCAAGAGAGGGTAATGGAGTGGAACCAGGCAGGGAACAATGGGAGGAATATCCTCTTGGTAAGAAGCCTAATGAGCCAAACCAGATTGTTTACTGTGCAAGTGCTAACAGTAATCCACAATGTGATTATTACGTCCACAATGAGTACATTTGCGACCTCCCTTTCCACCACGACCTCCACGAGAACCACCATGATTACTATGTCTTCCTATACCACCGCGACTGGCACACGAACCATTAGAGCCACCCAGTGAGACAACCAAAGCAGAATGATCACCACTATAATCAATACTAGGAGAGGAGCTATGATTTGATAGTGTAGCTTGCTAAAGTCGTTAAAATACATTCAAGAGAGATGGAAGTGTACGACTTTCCAAAATCTGGGAACGGATAGGCTCATACTCGGATTTCAACTAAACCAAAAACTGAACATCAAGATCCTCACGTTGTTGTTGCATGCGAGAAATGTCAGACATAATGGGTTGATATGTCCTAAGTTCTCGAACGGTCCCCATAATCTTGGAGAAGTACTCTTTGAGGCTCAAAGTACCTAGTTTAAAACTAAAATATTGCTTGCACACCTCATAAATGTGAGTAAGATTCCTAGTACCAGAATACATCTGAGTTAGTTGATCCCATATTTCCCAAGTAGTGTCTAGATAAAGTAGGGTAGAACTAATATGAGGCTTTATACTATTCAACATAAGGGAAATAATTTGTGCATTTTCTTGTTTCCATTGTGCAAAACCCGAGTCACTCTTGTTAGGTTTATCTTCCATTAAATGTGTACGAAACACATAATTACTACCATTGAGTTTGACGGAGGTCGTTGGTGCATGAAAAAGCGAAATAGTAGAATAATTTGGTGGAAGGGTTGATGAAGTTGTGGAAGGAGGTGTCGGAGAGTTACCCTTAGAATCCATTCCCATAGTAAAAAGTGTCGATTACAAACTAGTGCATAAAGAAGCCTTGCAAGTGAAGAGGTAGTGCAACAGGGGCTGGAAAGGGCCTGAACCGGCCGACAAGTGCTTAAATGTCTGAATTGGAGCTGAATAGGTAAAAAACTAAGAGAAATCAGTCTGAACTAGTCAGGTGAAGGCTGAATCGGATGGATGAGGGTTGGAATTGGCTCGATGGAACTGGAGTGGACCGGCCAAGGTTGAACAAATTTTGAACTGGACCCTTCTAGATGGACTTTGGACCTTTTGGATGGATTGGTGTGATAAGAGAATTGGGTTGGATTTAGTCCAAACCTGGACATGGTATCCTCTTCGTGG